GTATACCCCGTGCGATGCACGGGAACAATATTAAATTAATAATATTATAAAAAAACCTCGAGTTTGAGTCACTCAGTGGAGGAAGTGGAAACTACTATTGATCTTATTTAAAAAGAGGAAGAAAAAAAATAATTATAAATTAAAGAGGAGGATAAACAATACTTAATAATTATAAATTAAAAATTCGGGATCAAACAATGTAAAATTATTTTGTACAAGAGAATATAAATTTTACATTATTTTGTATAAGAGAATATAAAATTTGTATTTTAATATTAAAAACACCTAAAATATTATATTAGTATATGTAAAAGTATTCAAATTTTCTATATTATTTTTGAAAGATATGAAGACACTTACAACTTTTTTAAACAATTTTAGAAGGAAAACATATCTAAAAATATTTTAATTTAACATTGTGTAAAAAAGATTTTTTAGATTATTTTGTAAAGAAAACATGTCTACAAATATTTAAATTTAATATCAATTACGTATATGTATATGTATATGTATATATATGTATATATATACGAATATGTAAAAAAAATGTCTAAACAATTTTTTTAAAATATCTAAAATATTATAAGACATTAAGTCAGATGATACCGAATTTATGGCGCTACTTCTATCTAAAAATATTTGATTGCACAAAATTTCAAAATTATTATTATACTTTTTACTTTGTTATCGAGGATGTATAGTTACCCTATAATATTTGTAAAAATATTAGTAATTAGAACGATGAAAATTAGCTTTTTAGGATAGATAACGGATTTCTAATAGTAATTATAAATTAATTTCTATTTTTTTTTAAAAATCTGATAGATAAGTGATGAGATTTTTAACAAATAAGAGATAACCTCGTGTAGATTTATGCTATGAGATTTTATAAGCTATCAATTATATTTTAATATAATTTTGTAATGATAGGTTTTTACATAATATCAACACAATCTGTTATTTTGTTAACCTATAAAATAGGAAAAATGAACCATTAGAAAAACCAGTCGCATTTATTCATTAGATGATTTTGGCGGTAAATTTTGGTGGGAAATCATAAAAAAGTTATTCTTTTTATATAATGATAGATAATAAAAAAAGGAAGTCCGGGATTATAAGAACCCTTATAGTTCTTATCTTTTGCTTAATCCAATTTATTATTTTTTTTTTAACTTTTTGTATCGACATGTGTAACTGTTTTCGATGGTTTAGGGCTTGATTGTTTATGAAATAATTTGTTCAAATTGAGTTATTTTGGTTAACTATAGTTAATTTTGAAAAAAGTGGTATGGTTAGTTGTAGTGGAATTTTAAGAATGTATTAAAATAATATTTAAAATAAAATGATTAAAATTGATTTGATGGAAAAGTAAAAGATAAATGATTAAAAATGATTGGAAATGATAGGTAGTTAAAATTATGTGAGTGGATGAATAGTGAAATAAAGTTGATGTGATGTGTAAGAATGATTGGTTTTTATTATTTAATTATACGAATAATATTAAAGATAGTGGAGTTGAGTTAAAGTTGAGTTAGATTTT